AAAAAAAAAAACTATCGTGAGAAGGTTTCACCAGACAGCCAAAAGGGTTCATGGCAAACAAAAGATTAAGAACCCCTAATCTGGTGGTACCACTGTCCCCTAAACCTTGGGGGTCTTCTACATCTAGTTAGCAGAGCAGGTTGGGGTGGCATTGGGAATAGTTTAGGGGTGAGGCTTAGAAAGAGTGTGTGTCACTTCTGCCCACATTCCATGGGCCCTAATTCAGTCAAATGACCCCACTCACCTGCCAGGGAGGCTGGGAAATGGGGTCTAGCTGTGTTGCCCAGGAGGCAGGAGAAGGAGGAAATGGGGCTTGGTGAACACATAGAAGTGACCATCATTATGCCCAAGGGAACAATCAGCAAAGATTGTTCCAATGACAGGGGTCCTCCCTGGAAAAGCCTCATTCCCTATAAAATTCACTCCAGGAAGTATAATCATAATAATACCATAATAGCTGCTATTAGTTGAATGATTACTCCTGTCAGTGACCTGCTGATTCACTTCCATGACTTCATTTAATACTCATAATAACCCTGTAAGACAGGTACTTTTATTGTTTTTACTTTGTAAATAAGAGCACTGAGGACTTGAGATATAAGTCCAAAATCCATGCTCTCAGTCACTGTGCTGGACTGTTTTAGGAAAATACTGAGACCCTTGTTGAAGTAGGTAGAATTGTGAACTGGTTCAGAGGACGGTTTCTGGAGCCAGACTCCCTGGATTTATATTCCAGCTTTGCTGTAGCTGGTTCATTGACTGGGCACTTTTCACTGAAACTCTTTATGCATCTGTAAAATGGAGATTAATAATAGTGTCTATCTTTTAGGATTGAATGAGATTAACACTTACTAGTGCTCAATGAATGTTAGCCACTGTTATTACAGCCCAAATGACATTGTGACCACCTTCGTGAACATGACCTGAAATATCCCAGCAAAGCTCAGTTCTCATGAAGAATGCAGGATAATGTCAGAGGTCACCAAGATACTCACCAGCGGGGGTGGGGAGGGAGTGGGGAGGTTTACAGTCAAGAGGATCAAAAGCCGTTATTTTTCCAATGAAGGGGAAAATGTGTTGGGACAAGAGAAAGAAAATATTGGTGGGTTAGTTTTCATTTTAATGTAACTTTCTCTCCCCTTTGTAGAACTCCATGAAAGTGATGTTCAAATGCCTCTGGAAAAACTGTGGGAAGGTGCTGAGCACTGCGGCAGGTATCCAAAAACACATCCGGACCATTCATCTTGGGTAAGGCAGCCCTCCCTTCAGCACTTGAAGTAGTCTCCGTTAGTTAGTCTAGGGCCACCTGCACTTGGAAATTGCACACCACACTGTGCCTTAAAAGTTCTGCACACTGGACTGGTTCGGTCTTCCTAATCTCTAGAGAAATGGTCACTGCAGGTAACAGAGGCCAATATGGTACCATGGAAAGAACAAGGATTCAACGTCATAAAGCCTCCCTGATTTATTTACTGAGTCATGTTAGGCAAGTCACTGCTCTGAGTCCCAATTTCCTTTTTTTTTTTTTNTGTTGTCAGCACCACGCTCACCCAGTGAGCAACCGGCCATCCCTATATGGGATCCGAATCCGTGGCCTTGGTGTTAGCAGCACCACACTCTCCCGAGTGAGCCACGGGCCGGCCCCCAGTTTCCTTTGAAAATGAATAATAATGTCAAATCTACAGGGTCATATGTGTGGGACAAAGATCAAATGTATGTGAGAGAGACTTGCAAAGTATAAAACATTAAGGAAGGGATTCCTAACCTGGGATCTGTGTTGGACTTCAAGGAGTCCTTGAGTCCCCTAAAATTGTCTGTAAAATGAAGTGTGCACTTATTTTTCCAGTGGAGAATATTCATGACTGTGAGCCTCAAAAGCTTACACATGTAGCCTTTAAAGGGCTTCAGAACCACCATGGCCATCAATGCCTGCTGTTGCTTTTCTTCTAATGCCTGATGATCCTGCTTGAATAAGCCCTTTATTTGTAAAAGCTTTTTGTTGCTCAAATAAGCCCTTTATTTATAAAATCTACACTTTTCCTCCGGCTATGTAAAAGCCTTTCTAAGCGAAGGTAAAATGAAGCCACAGCAGTAGGGTCATACCAGGGCAGTAGTGATGATTGGGAGCCAGTCTTTGCTTTCGTCCTGAGTCTTTCTCATCCAGGGATCTGGGACTCAGAAGAGATGTTGAGAAGCTGTAAGTCATAACCAGTGTATGTACGGCAAACACGAATGCATGACAAAGCCCCCACATGCTTGAGCACAGAGGGGTCCCTTCAACAGGATGAGTGTGGAGAAATGAATGCAACCGTCACTTTACCCAGCAAGGCATAAATTTAGGAAATGCATCATCCAGAAAAAGTGGTATAGGCAGAAAATCAAAATGGGTTCTAACGTGATTTTACTAGTCAGTGAGGGTGGCCCCATCAGTGACTATGGAGAGAAGCAGGGATCCGGCTCCCTAACCCTTGAGCCAGAAGTCTGGGGACACACCAGAGCCTTCCAGAGCATGGCACCCAGAAGGTCACCATAGGCAGAGGGTGTGGCTCAGTAACGCTGGGTTTCTGCTCCCCTAGCCAGAGGGTCCACCTTCCTGTCTAAGAAGTATGGTGTTAAAATACTGTGGGTTAAGGGCCGACGCCATGGCTCACTCGGGAGAGTGCAGCTCTGGGAGCGCAGTGGCGCTCCTGCCGCGGGTTCAGATCCTATATAGGGATGGCCAGTGTGCTCACTGGCTGAGCACAGTGCGGTCGACACCAAGCCAAGGGTTGCGATCCCCTTACTGGTCACAAAAAAGACAAAA